AGAAGAATAATTTTCTCTAAAAAAACAAACAAACAAACAAACAAAATAAATAACACCTCAGTGACGTCCTTGAACCTCTCTAGGCACTGTTCTTTTTGCAAAATACAGTCGTACAATCTCCAATTAGATCTAGTTTTAATAAAATTATCATTAATGACGATGACGATTGCCTTGTGATCTGACCTGGTGATAAAAATATTTTTAACCATTTTGGTTGTATCTCTCTCTGCTAGAAATAAGCCTAAACAAGTAATCCCTCTCCTGACGGTGCAAGACGCGCCACAAATCTAATATGCAATTATTCCTCAGGATTTCATTAAAGCGTTTAGTGAGATTCACAACATGGCCCTGGTTGTCATTTTTATTTAATCTATTTATATCAAGGGTCACATGAGCAGTTAAAATCACCTAGAAAAATTATTCTACCATACTTTATTTTTTCAGCCCGGATGACAAATCTTTGTATAAACCTTCTAGGAGAATGGTTCGGAGCATAAACATTAACCATTGTATAAATATGAATTTTAATTTCACATATAAGGATTTGAGACCTGTCTTCAGGAGTTTGAATGCTAATCTACTAGCAATTAGGTTGGCTTTTTTGGGGGGAGAAGATTTAACCATATGAATAAAGTCATTGGTTCTAATCCACTGTTTATCTGTAGACTGCCAGTGAGTCTCCTGTACTATACCAACACGTAACTATTCCTTTCTAGGCCACCCTATATTCCTGTCTAGGTCGCCAGTGAGTCTCCTGGACTATACCAACACGTAACTATTCCTTTCTAGGCCACCCGTGAGTCTCCTGGACTATACCAACATGTAACTATTCCTTTCTAGGCCGCCAGTGAGTCTCCTGGACTATACCAACACGTAACTATTCCTGTTTAGGTCGCCAGTGAGTCTCCTGGACTATACCAACACGTAACTATTCCTTTCTAGGCCGCCAGTGAGTCTCCTGGACTATACCAACACGTAACTATTCCTTTCTAGGCCACCAGTGAGTCTCCTGGACTATACCAACACATATCTGTTCCTGTCCAGGCCACCAGTGAGTCTCCTGGACTATACCAACATGAGTCTCCTGGACTATACCAACATGTATCTATTCCTTTCTAGGCCGCCAGTGAGTCTCCTGTACTATACCAACACATAACTATTCCTTTCTAGGCCGCCAGTGAGTCTCCTGGACTATACCAACATGTATCTATTCCTTTCTAGGCCACCCGTGAGTCTCCTGGACTATACCAACACGTAACTATTCCTTTCTAGGCCACCAGTGAGTCTCCTGGACTATACCAACACATATCTGTTCCTGTCCAGGCCACCAGTGAGTCTCCTGGACTATACCAACATGAGTCTCCTGGACTATACCAACACGTAACTATTCCTTTCTAGGCCGCCAGTGCGTCTCCTGGACTATACCAACATGTATCTATTCCTTTCTAGGCCACCCGTGAGTCTCCTGGACTATACCAACACGTAACTATTCCTTTCTAGGCCGCCAGTGCGTCTCCTGGACTATACCAACATGTATCTATTCCTTTCTAGGCCACCCGTGAGTCTCCTGGACTATACCAACACGTAACTATTCCTTTCTAGGCCACCAGTGAGTCTCCTGTACTATACCAACATGTATCTATTCCTTTCTAGGCCGCCAGTGCGTCTCCTGGACTATACCAACATGTATCTATTCCTTTCTAGGCCACCCGTGAGTCTCCTGGACTATACCAACACGTAACTATTCCTTTCTAGGCCACCCGTGAGTCTCCTGGACTATACCAACATGTAACTATTCCTTTCTAGGCCGCCAGTGAGTCTCCTGGACTATACCAACACGTAACTATTCCTTTCTAGGCCGCCAGTGAGTCTCCTGGACTATACCAACATGTATCTATTCCTTTCTAGGCCACCCGTGAGTCTCCTGGACTATACCAACACGTAACTATTCCTTTCTAGGCCGCCAGTGAGTCTCCTGGACTATACCAACATGTATCTATTCCTTTCTAGGCCACCCGTGAGTCTCCTGGACTATACCAACACGTAACTATTCCTTTCTAGGCCGCCAGTGAGTCTCCTGGACTATACCAACACGTAACTATTCCTTTCTAGGCCGCCAGTGAGTCTCCTGGACTATACCAACACGTAACTATTCCTTTCTAGGCCACCAGTGAGTCTCCTGGACTATACCAACATGTAACTATTCCTTTCTAGGCCGCCAGTGAGTCTCCTGGACTATACCAACACGTAACTATTCCTTTCTAGGCCGCCAGTGCGTCTCCTGGACTATACCAACACGTAACTATTCCTTTCTAGGCCACCAGTGAGTCTCCTGGACTATACCAACATGTAACTATTCCTTTCTCAAGTAACAAAAAAAAAAAGAAATTATTCTCTTTTGTGGGGAATTCAATCCCCTGATGTCCAAAGAGGCGAATTTGATCATGCTAACCAAGATTTAACGGTTGATTTTTGTCTTTCTGCTAAGTGTCAAAATTTGACTTCCTGACAAAGAGATAATTTAAAAAAAAATTCAGACAATGCTAGAAGATATTATATTATAAACTAAGTTCACATGTGATAGTGAATTTATCATTTGTATTAGGAGGTCTGGAAATTCTAGCTGTTTTTAAGCAAATGAAGGAAGGATGTTTACCGATGCTTGCCGATAAAGCCCAGCTAGAAAGATTGATGGTTCTCTAAGCTTTTCCTTGCTTAAAGAGTGTAGCAGCTATGGTGCCCTGGCACTTTCCATTGTAAAGAGTAATTTTACAATGTTTTGGCTTCTAACCCGGGGTTCACCAGAACCATGACTAAGCTGTCCACAAATGTGTGATCAGCACCAGGGTTGTGTCTAACCTCCCTGTAGCCTCCCCTGCCTCCGTTCAGTTTTTTTCTATGGCTCCCTCCCCATCTTGGGAGTTTTGCCTGGTGCTGGATTGAAGGTAAGTAATGCTTTGTCCTCTCCAAGTGATTCTGTCTTTTCTTGGGGATGCCGGTGACGCAAGGCACACCGGTTCTAGGCCAGTCAGCCTCTGTCCTAGTTTACGTACCTCCTGTGTTGGTCTGCATGCCTAAAATGTGTAGTGGGTAAAAACGTCTGAAAAGCATTATCCATCTGTCTGTCTAGGTGGACTTGCTGCTCTCATGTACACAGATACTGTGCAGACATTTGTAATCATCGGAGGATCCTGTGTGCTCGCAGGGTATGGTAAGTGCTGAGAGATGGCTAAACTGGATTTACATCTGTCATAACCAGTAAATATCACCCCATATCACAGTCCTTCATTAACTCTCAGTCAACAGGAGGGTTCAGATTGTGATATGGGATGATATGATGGAGAAGGCAGATTGAGGGGTTCAGTTTGTGTTATGGGGTTATATGATGGAGAAGGCAGATTGAGGGGTTCAGACTGTGATATGGGGTGATATGATGTAGAAGGCAGATTGAGGGGTTCAGACTGTGATATGGGGTGATATTATGGAGAAGACAGATTGAGGGGTTCAGACTGTGATATGGGGAAATAGGATGGAGAAAGCAGATTGAGGGGTTCAGACTGTGTTATGGGGAGATATCATGGAGAAGGCAGATTGAGGGGTTCAGACTGTGATATGGGGTGATATGATGGAGAAGACAGATTGAGGGGTTCAGACTGTGTTATGGGGTGATATGATGGAGAAGACAGATTGAGGGGTTCAGACTGTGATATGGGGAAATAGGATGGAGAAAGCAGATTGAGGGGTTCAGACTGTTATGGGGAGATATCATGGAGAAGGCAGATTGAGGGGTTCAGACTGTGATATGGGGTGATATTATGGAGAAGGCAGATTGAGGGGTTCAGACTGTGTTATGGGGAGATAGGATGGAGAAGGCAGATTGAGGGATTCAGACTGTGATATGGGGTGATATCATGGAGAAGCAGATTGAGGGGTTCAGACTGTGTTATGGGGTGATATGATGGAGATTGAGGGGTTCAGACTGTGTTATGGGGTGATATGATGGAGAAGGCAGATTAAGGGGTTCAGACTGTGATATGGGGAGATAGGATGGAGAAGGCAGATTGAGGGATTCAGACTGTGATATGGGGTGATATCATGGAGAAGCAGATTGAGGGGTTCAGACTGTGTTATGGGGTGATATGATGGAGATTGAGGGGTTCAGACTGTGTTATGGGGTGATATGATGGAGAAGGCAGATTGAGGGGTTCAGACTGTGATATGGGGAGATAGGATGGAGAAGGCAGATTGAGGGATTCAGACTGTGATATGGGGTGATATCATGGAGAAGCAGATTGAGGGGTTCAGACTGTGTTATGGGGTGATATGATGGAGAAAGCAGATTGAGGGGTTCAGACTGTGTTATGGGGTGATATGATGGAGAAGGCAGATTGAGGGGTTCAGACTGTGTTATGGGGAGATATCATGGAGAAGGCAGATTGAGGGGTTCAGACTGTGATATGGGGTGATATTATGGAGAAGACAGATTGAGGGGTTCAGACTGTGATATGGGGAAATAGGATGGAGAAAGCAGATTGAGGGATTCAGATTGTGATATGGGGTGATATCATGGAGAAGCAGATTGAGGGGTTCAGACTGTGTTATGGGGTGATATGATGGAGAAAGCAGATTGAGGGGTTCAGACTGTGTTATGGGGTGATATGATGGAGAAAGCAGATTGAGGGGTTCAGACTGTGTTATGGGGTGATATGATGGAGAAGGCAGATTGAGGGGTTCAAACTGTGTTATGGGGTGATATGATGGAGAAGGCAGATTTAGGGGTTCAGATTGTGTTATGGGGTGATATGATGGAGAAGGCAGATTGAGGGGTTCAGATTGTGATATGGGGTGATATGATGGAGAAGGCAGATTGAGGGGTTCAGACTGTGTTATGGGGTGATATTATGGAGAAGACAGATTGAGGGGTTCAGACTGTGATATGGGGAAATAGGATGGAGAAAGCAGATTGAGGGATTCATACTTTGATATGGGGAGATAGGATGGAGAAGGCAGATTGAGGGATTCAGACTGTGTTATGGGAAAATAGGATGGAGAAAGCAGATTGAGGGGTTCAGACTGTGTTATGGGGTGATATGATGGAGAAAGCAGATTGAGGGGTTCAGACTGTGTTATGGGGTGATATGATGGAGAAAGCAGATTGAGGGGTTCAGACTGTGTTATGGGGTGATATGATGGAGAAGGCAGATTGAGGGGTTCAAACTGTGTTATGGGGTGATATGATGGAGAAGGCAGATTTAGGGGTTCAGATTGTGTTATGGGGTGATATGATGGAGAAGGCAGATTGAGGGGTTCAGATTGTGATATGGGGTGATATGATGGAGAAGGCAGATTGAGGGGTTCAGACTGTGTTATGGGGTGATATTATGGAGAAGACAGATTGAGGGGTTCAGACTGTGATATGGGGAAATAGGATGGAGAAGGCAGATTGAGGGGTTCAGACTGTGTTATGGGGTGATATCATGGAGAAGGCAGATTGAGGGATTCATACTTTGATATGGGGAGATAGGATGGAGAAGGCAGATTGAGGGATTCAGACTGTGATATGGGGTGATATTATGGAGAAGACAGAATGAGGGGTTCAGACTGTGATATGGGGTGATATGATGGAGAAGGCAGATTGAGGGGTTCAGATTGTGATATGGGGTGATATGATGGAGAAGGCAGATTGAGGGGTTCAGACTGTGTTATGGGGTGATATGATGGAGAAGGCAGGAGGGATTCAGACTGTGTTATGGGGAGATATCATGGAGAAAGCAGATTGAGGGGTTCAGACTGTGATATGGGGAGATAGGATGGAGAAGGCAGATTGAGGGGTTCAGACTATGTTATGGGGTGATATGATGGAGAAAGCAGATTCAAATGTGGGTTTGATGCATGGGAGAACACCTTTGGGGAGATTTAGCAAGGCCAAAAAAAAAAAATGCTATTCTAGGATAAATGCTAAATAAGGAGCAATCACTACAAAACCCCTCTTGTCTTGCAGCATTCCAGGCTGTCGGTGGCTATGATGCTCTCATGGTTCAGTACATGTCTGCAGTGCCTTCTGTTCTGGGTAATGTGTCTGTAGCATGTGCTTCTCCACGCCCTGATGCTCTTCACCTGTTACGAGATGCTCGTACTGGAGACCTCCCATGGCCTGCCCTGATTGTTGGATTGACTATTGTATCCACGTGGTACTGGTGCAGTGATCAGGTGATTTTTGCAATGATATCCTATCTCCGTCTCAATGTCTTGCTGATATACATTACTGTATAGATTTCATTCCCCTTATATTCTCTACATATCACCGGGACTCAAAATGTCTGTGTGCCAACTAGCCATTAGTATGTGCAAATTCAGCCCTTGTGAGCGTACCATGGCTCCAACACACCTACAATGCTGCTCAATGTTCTTTGAAAGCAGCAGTTTATTAATAGTGTATCTACAAAGAGTGACATGTTATTATAGAGTTGGGGACTAACCTCTTATGCTCTGTAGAGATTGTAGAAATCTGCCCACAGGCCACCAGCCCTCATCTCAGGCACACTGCATTGAGTACATAGAAGGTTTAAACATGCAGCCTGCATACTTTAAGGCAGAGAGATTTATGAAAGAGATATAAGTAAGTTCCTCCCTCTACCCTATACGTGAATACGTGCAGGAACATATAAAAGGTATTTATCATCACATACTGAAAGGGAAGGTTTGTGTTAAAGGACCACTATAGGCACCCAGACCACTTCAGCTTAATGAAGTGGTCTGGGTGCCAGGTCCAGCTAGGGTTAACCCATTTTTTAATAAACATAGCAGTTTCAGAGAGTTTATGTTAGGGTTAATCCAGCCTCTAGTGGCTGTCTCTTGACAGCGGCTAGAGGAGCTTGCGTGCTTCTCTCTGTGATTTTCACAGTGACAAGATGCCAGCGACCATAGGAAAGCATTGTAAATGCTTTCCTATGAGACTGGCTGAATGCGCGTGTGGCTCTTGCCGCGCATGCGCATTCAGCCGAAGAGGAGGAGAGGAGGCGGAGAGGAGGAGGAGGAGCGCTCCCCGCCCGGCGCTGGAGAAAGAGGTATCTCCATCCAGCCCGCCAGGAGGGGGACCCATAGGGTGGGGGCACCCTCAGGGCACTATAGTGCCAGGAAAACGAGTATGTTTTCCTGGCACTATAGTGGTCCTTTAACAAAATGCATTTCAATTGCATACTATTAATGCATTAAACAAAAATGTGCATTTACAATTTGTTAAAATTCCTTTTCTATTAAATAAAGTTTATCAGTAATTACCTGCAGAACTTTCTGACTTCGGCACCTAATGACCATCTGCTCCCACGTTTGCCCAGCAATAGACATGTGCAATTCGTTTCAGTCCAAATTTAAATTCGGCCGAATTTCGGCAATTCGGACATTCGGATGCTTCCGATTGTTTGAATTGCCGAATTTTGGAAGT